TAATAGTTTGTTTTCAGTTTTGATATTTTATATTATAAAAAATTGTAATTGGAAACATAGATGTGTACAAAACTATGCAAATGAAAACAAACAAAGATGGCTGAATTCTGGGTTGCCTCAATTGAATCCCCATTCGAAAAAAAATTCTGAAGAGCGTCAGGTAACTTTGTGATTTTAATTAATTTTTAACATTTTATTAATGTTTATTAAATTATAATATTTTTAGAACAGGAAAAATCGAGGAACCATTAAAGACATTTAATATTTGAAATTTCATGCAGTTACACAAATTTCCTCCGCAAATCTTATAACTTGCACTTGTTCAAAGACAATTGTGAACAACCCTCATGGGACCTGGGCACAATTCCCATTTCTTTGGCGCCGCGATCTGAAGGTACCGTTGGAAAGAGGAAGTCCTCCTGTTTAAAAAATATCCGCAACCGCTTAGTTTAGGAGATATTCGACCTTAAAGTTCAAAAATTCGCAAAATTCGTACATTTCAAGACGCTATTTCACCACATTAAACACACTTTATTCACATTTTTCATTTAAAATTAATTAAATTCCACTATAAACTTGCAAATAACTCCATATCTTACACTTTTAGCAGGTTTTTTACCTAAAAAATCTGCATTTTAAAAATTACATTTTACACTCGTTTTAACCCCATTTGTTTACCAAAAATAACGATGAAATGGAGCGCTGCCATGTGATGATAAGGCAATTCGCTGAAATTCCTCTTTTTCGCAAAAATTCCTCCATTCATGCATGTGGATATTTCCTCTTTTACATTTATTAAGCAAATAAGTAATATTATATAATAATATTACGTAATAAAGTGTAAAGTATATTAGTAAAGTACGAAAATTTAAATTTTCTTTCAATATGAGTGTATGGTAACCGACAAATATAACCACTTTATATCCAAAACTCATATTTTAAATATAAAAATTGATGTTTCGTCACCTAAAATACAAAACAATGTATAATCAAAAATAAATGGAAATCGCTGATAGATATAAAAACTAAATTTTATCCATTTTATAACGAAAATTCAAGTTTTATTTCAATATGAGTGCATGGCAACCAACAAATATAACCACTTTAACTACTTATAACAAAAACTCAATATATTTTTTTATTTTTAACGCATAAACGAGTAGTACTCTAAAGTACTTCACTCCCACGGGCATTCGCTCGGCCAGGATTATTGTCATCCCGACATGATCATAGAGTTTTAATTATATGTGTTTATTAAATATAAATCACATATAATACATATATATACTATATGTAAAATGTATAATATGTGGAAAAAGTTTTCACAACTCAATTATAACTTCAAAAATGTTAGAAAGTATTTTTTATTATAATTAATGTAGAAAAAAGAATCACGCAAAAAAATAAACAAAGAAAAATCGTACTTATTGGTGTTTAAGATGTGGCAACGCTCGTTTTCCTCATAATTGTAAACAATCYAACCTTTGCAACGCCGAGTTCGCTAAGTGATTTTTAAATTAATAAATTTAGGTGAAATGTTACAAAATAAAATTGAGATGTGAACTTCTTTCAATGTTTAGAGTGTATATTTAAATATACAGAGTGAAAAACGTGAATAAATTTAATGGAAGAAAGAGAAATACCTTGTGTTATTAGTGCATATTTTTGAACTTTTAATCGTGAAAATTTTAAAAAATATAAGTAATTTTTATATTATTTTTGGATATTCCTACTCTGGGGAAGCTCCCCTATCCGGACATACTCCACTTATACGGAAATTCGGTTTTTTTTACCCCTCCGCCAAAGTAATCGGAATCGTGCCGGGACCTGTTGTAGAATCCTTCAAACATCTGAATTGAAATCTGAGAAAAACACTAACATATTCACAGGATAGTTCGATGAGTAACAGCCGTTACAACAACAACAACATGAGTAACAGCTTAAAGATGCAGTTAGTAGCGTTATTAAAAATCGTGGATCCTACGAATGCAAAGAAACAATTTGACCGTTTGGGTTTAGTGCGTCTCAGTGTGAATCACTACGCGCTATACCAAAGGTAGATAAGCAAGAACAATAAGGAAATGCGATTGGACTCCGTGTTATTTGAAAATTTAGTGTAGTTTAATTAATTGTGAGCTTATGTACCTGGTGTTAAAAAGTGTTTTTATTGTTTCCTTTTTTTAGTTTCAACAATAGAGACAACCACAAAATGGGCGTTGGAATGGTCGATTGGTGATACGTGTCTACAGCAGCGATTAGAAACCTTGGTGAAAAGTTCGCGCAGAGTTGGGGTAAACCTACTACACAGGTAAACATGGCTGCGTCATGACTAAATTATTTATTTATTTACTGAGTGTTTTTTATGTCCATTGAGATGACATTCTACACTTTCCAATTTGCAGCTGCATCGTCAAATAATGTAACATTATGTGTATATGATGTTTGTAATTGCAAATAAAAATTGTGATGTGCTTGATTTTAAAAATATATATGTATATATTTTAATTATTCAAACAACACGGCAATTTCTTTTGTATTTAATTTATTTCTTAAAGTTTTGCTTTTAGCGCTACCAATGTAATTTTTTTTTCGGTTTTATGTGTGTTTACAAAGCATTTTTATGGTTTTAATTTTTTTTATCTTTTTAGATTCACTAATAGTGGTATCATGAAAATATATTAGATTCATCAAACAAAAAGTGGAAGGACCCTGAACAAAAATAAGTAAATTATATAAATACTTTCGGTATTAACTTTATTTGTTACCATTGTATGCGACCTTTAAAAACAGTTGTAGAATATGTGCGTCGCTTGGTGAATAACAATGCATTGGTAGTGCCTTTGTCAGAATACGATCCAACAACACCAAGAAAATTGTCGTATGGGCGCTTTATTTAAAGAATACCTTCGAGATGCTTGTATGGGTGCTTTTCACACAGATAACGCACACCAATGCATTGAATGAAGTGGGTGTAAACAAATTCACATTACTTTTTTCAACATTTTCGATACTTTCTGAAAAAGTTATCCGCCGGGAACTGGTACAATAATATTAATTGTTCGCTTAATGGACATGAATAAACAAAGTTACAACAAAATATTGTTTGGAGTCTTTGAACAACAAATGTAACAACATTTTGTACAGCATTTGCGGACGAGCAATTAACTACTGTAAGTGTAATGGTCCCATTGCTTAGCATATTTTCAAGGATTTGAATTTAGTTCACCAACACCGATGCTTCGAGGAAATTAATGTGTATGAATGGCACAAATAGTCAGGCCATTTCGACGAGTCCGTCGGCGAAAAAAGTGGTAACTACGTAGCAAAATATTAGTAAATCTTTTATATTTTATTGCAAATATTTGTAGAATATAACTATTTTTGTTTAAATTATTACAAATCGTTTTATTTAGTATTGTACATATATTATATGGATGAAAATAGGTATCCGGGGGAACCTAATACCCAAAAAATATCGGTAACGCGCCTATGTTGAAACCTCTTTATTATTTTTAAGTCCTTTTATTTGAATCTCTATGTTGAAAAATCCATTATTTCGATCAGGTGATCTCAGCTGTTGACGACCATATGATTCTTTTGTTACTTGTATATTTCTACAATGGTTTTGACGTTTTTCGATTAAAATGACTGTAACGGCCAGATTTAAATTGTACCAAAAATATATGTGAACGGAGGAATTTGTTGCCGCCGTTCAAGATCGCCAATAAAAATTGAAAAGAATTTTAATATATTTTGTGAAACGTTTTGTAATTTGATGCATAATAGAATTAATTTTCAATTAGAAATGATTAAAAACATTTACTAATTGAGAACTAACAGGCTTAATTCGCCTTATTAAGTATGGAAAGATCGAAAGTCAGTTGTTTTAATACACCAAAAAATCATAAAAAGAGATTTAAGTAGTTTTGCCATATATTAAAAGTCCAATATATAAAAATTTGGAATCCTAATAAATGTTGGGTGTTTTAATTTAAATGGTATAAAAAACGCTTATTTTGAGGCTCTCTCACACTGGAATAAGTTGGGCATCCCATTATCTCTGCCACTGGTATGATTATAAATTCGATATTAATGAAATAACTATCAGATTACAGCGTAACTGATAAATCGGCATATTATGGCATAAAAAAGGCACAATTCCCATTTCTTTGGCGATGCGATCTGAAGGTACCGTTGGAAAGAGGAATTCCTCCTGATTAAAAAATTTATTATGTATAGGGTTATAGGTACCGCAAACGCTTAGTTTAAGAAACAGTCGACTTCAAAGTTCAAAAATTCCCAAAATTAGAACATAGCAGTAAGCTATTTCACCACCTTAAACACACTTTTCGCAAGTTTTTATTTCAAATTAATTAAATTAAACTATAGACACTTAAATACGTCCACATTTTTCACTTCTTGCAGGTTTTATAAATCTTTATTTTAAAAATTACTTTTTACACTCGAAGTGAGCATCATTTATGTGATAACAATTATGAAGAAATGGAGCGCTGCCATAGAATGCAATAATAAGCAAATGTGAGCATTTCGTTGAATTTCTCTATTCCGATATAATTCCTCTTTCTTTATTTAGCAATCTTAGTGCTAATAAGAACAAGTGTGTCTATAAGTTTTGTTTCAAATTAAAATGAGTATAAACAATCTCTCCATGCATATGGATTTTTTCTTATTTAAATTTAATAAACAACTAGGTAATACTATATAATAATATTACGTAATAAAATAATAAAATACTAGGTTACCCCGGGTATTGGCTCGACCAGGATTATTTTTTTAAGGAGTACTACACGAAAGTACTGCGGTCATCCCGGGTATTCGCTGGACCAGGGGTATTTTTTAGAGCACGGCCGAAGGCCGCCAACGCAGAAAGAAGTACTACGCAAACGTACTTCGGTCACCCCGATATGATATAAATTTTACAATTAATATAGAAAAAAGAATCACGCAAAAAAACAAACAAGGAAACATCGTTAAGAACCCTATATATTTGGTGTTTAAGATGTGGCAACACTCGTGTTCCTCATAATTGTAAACAATCTAATCTTTGCAACGA